AAGTAGGAATAGTTTTGGATTTATACGCTGAATATTTTATTAGTGTAAATATATAGTTGAAAATGAGTATGAGAAATAAAGAGTTTTAATTTCAAGATAATCAAATATGGGCTAATTTGTTTTAAAAAAAATTCATATTCTAAAAGTGGTTCTAAGGAAAGTTACATTGGATTAGCTTTCTTTAAAAATTATTCTAATTAAAAGAAGACTTTTGTCTTTTTTATCCTAAGATTCCATTTTAATGACTTTAGAAAAGTTAAAAGGAGCTTTTAGGATCCAAAAGTTACTTTGGACTTGTTTAGCTAATTTTATGAAAGTGTTTCTTCTAATTAGAAAAGTTTTTAGAGGAAGTTGGTTCAATGTGACTTCCTCTAAAAACATGTTTGAAATAGAAACTCTTTTAAAAATTAATTTTCAAACAAAAAAAAAATAGCTTCTTTTAAAAACTCTTCTAAAAGAAGTAAAAGGAAAAGGAAAACTCATGCCAAATGAGCGTGAAATATACTATCAAAAGCTTGTTTTGTCTTTTCAAAAGCCTTGTCAAGTAGACTCTAAACATACTATCATGACATAAATTTTTTTTTATTGGAATGATTTGATATTATCTTCAGTACCAATGCCTTCTATGAAGTGATGGAGTTACTTGAACCTCGAATTAAAGAATAATTTGGTACACCCGACAAATAACAAAAGATACATATGTTGTGTTTTTTTTAAGGGTTTTGCTATGGGTACATAGGGGGTGCCATAAGGGTTCACATAATGGCCAAATGGCATCCCCCTATTGGAGGGTTGGTTGGGCCCACAAATATCTCTCTCGAGTTCTTATTTAACCTATTTAACTAATTTAATATCATATCTCTATGCGAATCAAATTTTAGTTAAACAAAATATTAGTTCTAAGAATTCATCTAATGCTTGCAATAATTAGTATATGTATCTCTATAAGATTACTAAATTACTGAATTTTAATATATGGTTTAAATCCAAAACTCACCTCTCAGTTCATAATAAATTCACAAAATCATCGAATTAGTGATCAAGTTATTCAAAACATTAAGTACATAGTTAAAATCAACACATAAATAATGAAAGAACTTAAATCTTGAATAAAAGAAATAAATGGTCTCAATTCGATTACTCATTACATTGTTGCCCTAATTAAAAATTTAGTTACGCATAATATATGAAGAAAAATAATTAACACTATTTGTGTACATCACCAGCTTTTGAATTGATATGTGGAGAAGCAAATCAATCTTACACCAAGTTCCTTTTCTTGCCTCCAATCTTGATTACAAATCATAGCTCTTGATATGTTATTTTTCTCCATTTTGATTTTCTCTTGAATTTTCAAGTTGTATTTTGTGCCTCTCAATGCGTGTCACCCTCTCAAAAATGCAAACAAATTGTATTTATACTTCTCCTCACGTTTCCCCTAATTTAAAGTTTTTATGAGCTTCAAAACGCGCCGTATATACATTCGGCGGTGCCTCGACGCCACTCCCACAACTTTGTATTGTGCAATTTGATGGTGCTTCAGCGCCATGATGCCACATTTCAGGTAAAAATTCGCACTGTACTTTTTAAAATATGTTTATCATAACTTTCTGTCCCAATATTCGATTAAGACGATTCAAATTTGGCTGTAAAGATAATTTAAAGGGATACAACTTTAATAAAAATAATTTTTTTTTTCAATTCGAACATTTATTAGGTCAAAAGGGGTCTCAATCTCGGGCTAAAAATCTGAAATGTACATGTGCGGTTGAAAATTGAATTGTGAAAATATTTTGATCATATTACACTCCTATTTGACTTCTAAATGCATCCAATTGACCCCTAGCATTCTTGAATATTCATCACGAGGTCCGACACAACTTTTTATTATTTACACTTTAGTCCCAAAACATTAGATCTTGCTCCTTTTCGCCAATTTTTGCTTATTTCTTTCAATTCCACTTTCATTCATCGAGTTTCACCAATAACACATTATATAATAAATTAGACTATAATTTTATCAAAAGAACTACGAAATGTCAATATTTTAGAGTCCAAATAAGTGCATGAAATACACCTATTGACAAATAAATGATGGACACGAAGTCAATTTATTATGTTTATGTATTTCTTATCAATGTCAAATTTTATTTTTTTTTCGATAGACCTAACTCTATTCGACATTAAAGATGAATAAAGTTTGATCCGATTATATTGACACTGTTACTATGACACAATTTAAAGTATAACACTTTTTATTTTACCAAAAAAATTCTTATTGACTGCACGGCTAACTGCATTTTAACGGATTTCTTTACTGAAGATAATCATGAATTAATTGTCCCAATAATCACTGAACTTATATTTGTGTCCTCAGTTACTCTCTGAAATATAAGATGTCGAGTTTTGGATACTAAACTTATCCAAATGTTGAACGTTTCTCATTTGCAGAACATTCATTTTAAATCTCTAACGAAATTAATGACATGTCTGATGAAATGCACATGTGGTGTTTCGACACGACGTTATCAAATTGCCACGTAAGAAAGTATCTTCAACTTTCATTGCTCACTAAACTTTGAAAAACGTATTCGATTGCTCACTAAACTTTGAGGTTATCGATTTTTCGTCACCAAATTAATAAAAATTACGCCGGCTTATTGTTTTGCTAAAAAATGTGTACCACATATGTACGAGTTGTGTATAAGTATAAAGTGGACAAACAAGTCAAGGTTATCGATTCCACGAGGAATGATTATTTAATTACATAATAGTTAAATTTAATTTTAACAACGAAACACACAATACATTTGAATTTTTCACATGATGAAAAATAGTCTAAAATTCTACAAAAATAACAAAAAGACCACATACAAAATCCTTCCTCAGTTTTATTATTTGATATTTTTATTATTTTTGGAGAATTTTAAGCTACTTTCATCATTTGGAAATTTTAATTTATGGCTTGTTTTGTTGTTTTAATTAATATTAACTATTATATATTTGAGTAATCATTCTTTTTGGAATCGACAATTCAAACTCGTTTGTTCAATTTATTACTTGTACGTGACACGTGCTTACGGTACATATTTTTTAGCGAACAACAAGTTGATGTCATTTTTATAAGTTTAGTAACAAAAATTTGACTACCTCGAAGTTCAGTGAGCAATCGAAACGTTTTTCATGAGAAATCTAAAAAGTTTCTTAAAATTTAGTGAGCAATAAAAGACGTTTTCTTACTTGACAAATTGACAACGGCTTGACAGGCACCACATGTTGATTCCGTCGTTTACGTTACCAATTTTGTTAAAAGTTTGATATCGCAAGTCACGTTCAACGTTTAAATATATTTAACAGTTAAAATTCGACACTTTAAACTTACACGTGTATCAATCAACACAACCACACGACATTATTGGGACAATTAACGAGTAAAATGTTTGAATGGTCACTGAACTTTAACATGGTCACGACTTACTCACTGAACTTCAAATGGTCTCTTAATGGTCACTGAACTTTCTGTCGTTGCATCACATCCATCACTCACCAAATTCCATTACCATTGAAGCTGACGTGGCGGACAGAAAACACACGTGGCAGGTGACGACCGTTAAAAAATGACAACTCAGTGGAAACATTGTTTCATTACTCATCCAACTTACATTTTGTCACATTTCACTCATCGAACTTCAAAATGCTTCCCAATGGTCACTCATCTTTGAAATGTTGCACTCTATTGATCATCCGCATATTTTGTTCCCTTCATTCCTAATGTTCGCACAAAAATTCCACGGGTAAGTTACAAATGTTAAAAAAAATTGCAACTCAACAAAACTTAACTCACCAAAATCATCATATATGAAACGTGACTTCCACGACCCCATCAACTTCTTTAAAACTAAATAAAGCATCCCCAATGATTCTTTTAGAAATATCATTTTTCTAATTCGAACGTTTGCTATGCAAAAAAAATAGGTTTCAATCTCATATTTCTAAAAAAATCATTGGGGACACTTTATTGAAAAAATTATTCTTTTAGAAAAAACGATTCTTTTAGAAAAAATATTTTTTTCAATAAAACGTCCCCAATGATTTTTTTAGAAATATCATATTGAAACTTATTTTTTTTTGCATAGCAAACGTTCGAATTAGAAAAAAATCATTAGGGAGGCTTTATTTAGTTTTAAAGAAGTTGATGAGGCTGTGGAAGTCACGTTTCGTATATGATGATTTTGGTGAGTTAAGTTTTGTTGAGTTGCAATTTTTTTTAACATTTGTAACTTACCTGTTGAATTTTTGTGCGAACATTAGGAATGAAGGGAACAAAATATGCGGATGATCAATAGAGTGCAACATTTCAAAGATGAGTGACCATTGGGAAGCATTTTGAAGTTCGATGAGTGAAATGTGACAAAATGTAAGTTGGATGAGTAATGAAATAATATTTTCGCTGAGTTGTCATTTTTTAACGGTCGTCACCTGCCACGTGTGTTTTCCGTCCGCCACGTCAGCTTCAATGGTAACGAAATTTGGTGTGAGATGGAAGTGGTGCAACGGCAGAAAGTTCAAAGACATTTAAGAGACATTTTGAAGTTCAGTGAGTAAGTCGGGTCCATGTTAAAATTCGGTGATTATTCAAACATTTTACTCACGATTAACTCCATAACTGTTTTGTAAGAACTGAATTTTTACGCTGACGCTGCAAAATATCCCGGTAGTGTTTCGCTGTTTAAACTCCGGTGATCGGATCCTTTGTTCGTCACCGCCATCATCGATTCCCTTCCATATTCCCCTGGCGGAAACCTTACCTGCCATTTCTTTCTACCCCCACTCCCCTTCGGTTCATGTTGTCAATGCTGTCATGTCGCCATCGATGGACCTTCAACACACTCTCATGTGATTTCGCAAAAAAACTGTCACTCAAATTCTCCATTTCTTTTTCTCTAAACTTCCAAGAACCCTTATTAGCGTTACCGAAGCAAAGGTTTACATTCGGAACCATGTCCAATTCTCGCCCCTCAGCCTTTGACATTCTCATGTCGAATGCTTCGAGAATAAAGCAAAACCCTTCACAATCTCAGAAGGAAAAGCCGCAATCATCACCCAGGAAACGCAAGACCCCAGCTGAAAATTCCCAAACCCCCGATTTAAACCCTAACACTTCTCCGATTCAAAGTGAAAGAACCGTAGAACAAGACCAATTAAGCCTCAAAGATTCAAATTCCGCTCAAATTCAAGATGCCCGTTTCAAGAACTCGTCGGAAAAGGACGAAAAACCAACGGTTAGTTCATCCTCAGTTCAAGAATCACGTTTAAAGCAAAATGCAGCAAGAAATACTGATTTGAATGAAGACTTGGGGGTGGCGAAGAAGGCAAAGGTGTCGATTAGTCCGGATGAGAGTATTGTGGAGTTGAAGAAGAAGGCTACAAGTTTTGATGCGAAGAGAGCGGCATATTGGGGAAAGGGAGAGAGGTTACCTTTTATGTTTGTGGCGAAGACATTTGATGCAATATCAAAGGAGTCGGGGAGGATCGTGATCACAGAGATTGTGTGTAATATGCTGAGGACTGTGATTGAAATGGCACCAGATGATTTGGTGGCAGTCGTGTACCTTCTGGCAAATAGGATTGCTCCTGCGCATGAGGGGTTGGAGTTCGGGATTGGAGATTCTTCAATTATCAAGGCGCTTGCAGAGGCTTGTGGGACTAAAGAAGCGCATATTAAGAAGCAGTACAAGGTGATAAATTAAAATATTCTCATTCAAACTGAAGTTTCCACTACTTGTGTGTATTTGAGAGTAAATCTACTTAACTTAGTGGTGAAACTGAATGAATTTCATGTTTTCGTAAGTTTCAGGAGAACTATGTTTGGTTTCACTATTACATCATCATGTAATGTATCAGGGGCGGAGGTTGGGGGGGGGGGGGGGGGNTTTTTGTTAAGTCTTCGTACGTTAATTTATATTCCGTTGTTTTCTTTCTCTATTATAAAGTACCAACTTTCTTCATTTTAACACATAATGTTTCAAAAAAATTTTTGCCCCCACCCCTTCAACTCTGGGACCCCCCTAGTTCATCGGGCTGGCTCCTCCCCTGTAATGTATTATTAATTCAAATTACCGCATGCTGGCTGTGGATGTATTCATGGCTAGCAACATTGCAGATGAATCGTTTATTTTGTTGAAACAGGGGATACAGTCTTACAGAGTTGATCTTGCTGCAATGGGGAAGCTTTAATGTATACATGGTTGTTTGAGCATATAGTTTAACGTGAGACAAAACTGAGGAGAAAAAGAAATTGCAGTGATTTTACAATACGGGATGTGTGACAGAAAATGTGATTGCTTGAACTTGGTCCCGACATAGTCATACTCACTTTGAAGTTATATTTAGCCCCTATTTGAGCCCCCATATTTTTTGAGAATAGATTTTGTAAAAAGTGATTCTTTTGAACAATGTGTGGTTAAAAAGAAGGAACATTTTTGAATTTACGTGCAAAATTATTTTATTAGAAGAATGTGTAGTTGAAAACGAGTTTAAAAAATGTGGCTCAAACATGTCTAATATGGTGATCTAGGATTTAATGTTTATCTCTGATTTTCAATTGATAAAAACTCTTCTTGTATTAGTTTTACTTCTTCCTTCGATGTGTCAGTTTCATTAATGTGCATGAATTGATAATAATTTTGTGATGGAGGAATAAGAGAGGGAAGACTGTCAAAAGTGTGCATGCATGGAAACAAGTTTTCTGTTTTCATTTTCATATTTTGTGTTAGAGAGAAAAAAAAAAATAAGAACAATGGAGGTGTAAAAAAATGGCAAAGATTCATTTCTTAATTGTGAAACTGGTCCTTTTTAACTCATTACATATACATGGCTTTTTCATTGGACAGGTGATTAACAAATGGAAGTGAGTAAAACTTGTCAGAATCTTACATGTTTCAGTGCTTGTGAGCATAAGGACTGAGGCAGTCAATTTTAAACTGGAAATCTTGCAAAGTCAAAAAAGTACACAATGTCTTTTATGTTTGAGTTTTATTTTTTATAGATGGTGATATCTTGTTATCAGTTTTTTAATGAAATTTTGACTAATTAGTGACCATGTTTTTCGCTCTTGAAGTGCTAAATCATGAACTTTAACACTTGCACCATCAAGATTCAAGTCATACTAATCATCAAAAGGAATTCTTAAGAGGATGAGTTTGAGCAGCTTCTCTAAGACACCATTCAATTAATTAAATATAAGATGGTTGATCGCTTTTCTCATTTCGATGGGGCTGAAGTTGTCTATGCTGCTGTCTAAAGGCGGTGAATGATATTCACTTCAAAATTTGTTAGATGCTAATGTTATCCCACCATTTTTCTCAGCACTGTAAACATTGCAAAATTCTTTTAAGATAAGTAGCGTTATGCTAACATATTTACTTTAGGTAATCATCTATGTAAATGAGAAATATGCACATGATGGTTTACTATAGTTCACACAGCTAGCTGATGTCTTTGTATGCTGCAGTATCCTCCCATTTAACAGCATGTAATTTTTCTGGAAAAGTAGCATTTTATTTGCTTGTTTCTGCTTCCTCTTTACTGTTTTGTGTTATCACATACAACTAAGTGCATCTAGTTCTTGGAATGCAACTTGTATGGGTTCCGGTTATATTTAATGATTCCATTTGCCAAGTTTGATTAACCTTTAAAATCCTGCATTTCCATGTATTACTAACAATAGGAGCTTGGAGATTTAGGCCTTGTTGCGAAAGCAAGCCGTTCGTCACAGCCTTTGATGCGTAAACCAGAAGCATTAACTGTCTCCAAAGTTTTTGATACATTTCAGCTCATTGCGAAGGTAATCTGTTGTCATCCTTATTCAATTTTGGATTTGCTCAAAGTTAATCTTGTGTCATCACCTTATGTACAGTCTCCGATTCAGATTCACCATCTCCTATGGTCGTCAGTGTGTATCCAAAGAGAAAAATTTTAGAGTTAATTATCCCATTCTGAAGATATGGGCATACCCCCACTGCTACATATGCAGTTGAAGTTAATGTTGTCATTGATTACTATATCCTACAAATGCCTGAAACATATAATTTAGTTTTTGATAAGAAAGTTTATCATTAGAGATATGTTTGTCTAGTTGAATTGTGGAGGATTCTAGGAGGGAAAGGATCCAATCGGTGTACTCTGAAAGACTTTGATCGCTTCCCTATCCCTTTCCGCCCTGCTCTCCCACTCCTTTTATACAATGTGCAAGCAGCTCTAAAAGCAGTCCTGTTCACATGATATGACAAACTTAAAATCTTACAGATAAGATGACAAATGTTTTGATGTCTCTGTTTTCATTTTACCAATTGACTGTTGTTCGTCACCTATTCATTAGTGTGGGAAAGGGATTCCTTTTCTCCTCCTCCTTTTAAAGTCAATAGTGCTGGAAGTGATTATTTCCTTTTGATTCTGTCCTTAAGTTTATCTTCAGTTAATTTGTATTTTGGTAGGAATCCGGCAAGGATAGTCAAGAGAAGAAAAAGAATCACATAAAGGGACTACTAGTTGCGGCCACTGATTGTGAACCTCAATTTTTGATTCGTCTACTCCAGGTTATTACAAGCTTGCTGTTTGATATTGCTTTTGGGTCTCGTTGCACATTGTAAACATAGTTTCAGTAAAATATGCAGACAAAACTTCGTATTGGTTTGGCAGAACAAACTCTCTTGGCAGCACTGGGGCATGCTGCCGTGTATTCTGAGAAGCAGTCATCCCATCCTGCAAATGTTGATAATCCCTTAGAGGAGGTAAATTATTGTGCATTACATCTGGACAAAGTTCTTTAATCTGTGATTTGTTTGAGAACTGTGACAAAAATCAAGGTGCTTTCTAATGCATAGATATGGTAACTCTACGAAGAATAAACAAGAAATGGTAATATCTGCAAAATAAACTATTAACAATAGAATGTAATCCGACAGTCTGAAAATGCTGTAAGAAGATGAATAGACATGCCGATCTCAGATAACAAGGGTAAAGCTCTGGTGAGTAGTGGAGTTTAAAGAGAAAAGGCACCACTAAAGCTTCAAAATCTTTCAAGGGACTCAAATTGCTGTCATGGTTATATGAAGATGTTTAACATATGATTGTCAAAGCAAGTCTATTTTCCTCTTCGGTGCATTGCTACACAAGGCCTTGGACAAAGCTTATCTGGTCTGAGCTCGTCTCCTTGTTTGATGTTATGTCAAAATGGTAAATGATCATAACAGATTAAAATAATCTTTTAGAATCAGATTTTTGACTCCCTTAGATTTATGTTTCTGTTTTCTATGTTTGTTTCTATCAAACAACATTTAATATGTTAGTATATGCATATAACGTGCAAGTTTAAGAGAGAACGTCTCTTATTGTATTTAATATCTTCCATATGACCCTTCATGTCCTTCAGGCTGCGAAACTTGTGAAACAAGTTTACTCTGTAATTCCGGTCTATGATAAGATCGTTCCTGCTCTTCTCGCTGGTGGTGTATGGAATCTCCCAAAGACTTGTAGGTTTTCACCGGGTATTCCAGTTGGACCCATGTTAGCTAAACCGACTAAAGGAGTATCAGAAATTGTGGAGAAGTTTCAAGACATGGAGTTTACCTGTGAATACAAGTATGATGGAGAACGTGCTCAGGTAATGATTCTTTGTAAAAGAAATATGTTAAAGTTATTGATGGTTGCCCAACATGAATCTCGTATGCAATAACTGTAAATGCTTCATGTAGATACATTATATGGGAAATGGTGCAGTAGAGATATATAGTCGAAATGCAGAACGGAATACTGGAAAGTTTCCTGATGTTGTTGCTGCTATGACAAGGTATTCTTTTCCATATGTATCTATGGAAGTTACCTTAATTGATCTATGAAATATGATAACTAATTGCAGCATTACTTCTCTACCGGTAATGTAAAAAAATTTCGGGAACAGCTATGCTTTATTGAATTTGTTCTGTCTGAGACTAAGGGTGATTTGATTGAAATGGATTTTGTAAGAAAACTGATGGTTACTTTCATTTTGTTTGTAGGGTTCCTTTTTATGATCAAATATGATATATTGCAACTTTAAATACTGGGCAACTCATTAACAAACCGCTAAAATTTACTCAACAAAATTGCATGTCTTGTCCTTTCGATATGAAATACAAGACTAGTGACAGTGGATACTTTTTTCTTCTCGTTTATAGTAATGTAATGTATGTATTAAAATTCTTGTACATACATATTATTTAGTCTATTTCAGTGGGACTCTGCATCCAGTGATAAAATTGTACTGCTAGCTGGAATCTGCCTGGAAACTATTTAGAAGCTACCTTTATGAGTTCCTAGGTCTTTTATACTTCGGTTAGCGTATTGTAGTCATTCATGTGAAAACCACATAACATTTACGTGCATCTATAAGGGTGCGTTTGATTGCAAGGGTGGAAAATGAGTGGAAAGAAAATGTTTTACAGGCAAAATATTTGACTAAAAAATATTTTGCAGGAAAAATGATTTTAAGTATGTTTGATTGGTATAATTTTCAACCCAAAAAAATTTTGGATTTTTTTGTTCACGTTTGGCTTTATTTTACATGGAAATTGTCCATTAAAGTAATTTTTTTTTTTCAATTGCTTATGAAATTTGTTACCATTGTCAAAAAGTAAAAAAAAAAAAAAAATTTTTTTTTTGCTTGAAAACTATTTTTTCATCAAAGTTTAGTGTTCGTTTAACTTCGTTTTACATGAAATTTGTTCATTAAAGTGATTTTTTTTTTACAATTGGTTATGAAATTTGTTTCCAATGCAAAAAAATAAATAAATAAATAAAATTTCCAGCCAGCCTGGAAAATTTTTTCTCACCAAAAAGGCGGAAAAAAATTTTCATCAAAAAGTCGGAAAATGCACACGTGTGGGCTAAACCCGGAAAATATTTTTCGTGAAAAATTAAATGCTTATCAAACAAGCCAATTGGGTGAAAAAGGAAATCATTTTCCGTTTTCCAAGGAAAATTGGAGCTATCAAACACACCCTAAGTTTTATTCTGTGTTTTACAAATTCATGAATTTTAAAAAGTTAGTTCTGACATTATAATTTTTAGTCAATGGTTACTGAACATTGGCTGTGTGATTGCAGATTGAAGAAACCTTCAGTAATGTCATTTGTCCTCGACTGTGAACTTGTTGCATACGACCGTGAGAAACAGAAAATCCTGCCTTTCCAGGTCAATGATATTTATTTAAGGTTTTTTTTTTCTATTTTCTACTAGAAGTAAAATCTTGGTTGTCTCTTTGACTGCAAAGTAAAAATCGTCCCAATTGTTTGGGTTCTGCCCCACTGCTATTTTTCTTACCTGTCAGTTTCATCTGCTAATAAGTTTTCTATTTTTCACTTTGTTTTCTCTTGGTTACTTTTTTCAGATATATGTATTGTATATGCCTAATATAACATCTTTGGTTCCGTCTGTTTTGATGTCAGATAATATCATATGAAACCATGCACTTACCAAATATGTCTCTGACAGGTCCTCAGCACACGTTCTCGTAAGAATGTTGTCATGAGTGAAATCAAAGTTGATGTTTGTATATTTGCTTTTGATATCTTGTATCTTAATGGACAAGAGCTTCTGCAAGAGCAGCTTGACATTCGTAGAGAGGTATGATATCCTCGTCTCCTTAACTATCTTAGATTTTGTAGCTATTGATGAATGGTTCTATTTGTTTCTAAACAGCGTTTCTGGTTACGCAGTTGATAAACTATTGATTATACTTATTAGGAACATTTTAGATCTTTTAGCATGTTTGAGCCTTCTATCTAGGTTATCATGTTTATCCTACTATGTGGATCGGGTTGACAATCCAAAGGAAGACCTTGAGCATAATATGACTTTAGAAATTAAACTGGGCTTGAATGTCAATTGTAGGATTCAATCTTATAGAACACTGACACGTAATCCATGAATGCTAATAGCACTGGTTTCAGTGGCTAATATCATGTACTTGTATCTTCCATTCTTTCAATTTGGCTTCTCGAATCAATTGTTGAATCTTCCGTCCTTTTAATTTGGTCTTGTGCATCAATTACTGAATCTTTATCCTGGGTGACTCAAAAAGATTCTTCCTCTGCCCCTTTTAGTAAAATTTGAAAGTTGATATCCATAAATTGCCTCTTTTCCTATTATTTAGAGGATGAGTCTTTGAATTAGTTATTTTACTATGGCTTGATATCTTTCACGAAGTAAAGATCTGTGTTTTGTGAGTTTTTGCCTTGACCCACTCTTTTATTTTTATTGATTTTGTATTTTTTTATTTAATTTATTTTCGTTGTAGCAAAATAGGGTTGTAAAATTGGACTGTTACAAAGGCAATGTTTGTCTACGTTATTGGCTTCCATCTTGACATGAAATATTTATTGATCTCTCAAGCCTGTGTCTTTGTGCAGCATCTTTACAAGTCCTTTCAGGAAGAACAAGGTCTTTTCCAGTTTGCCACTGCTATAACATCAAATGATCTTGAGGAAATACAAAAGTTTCTTGATGGTGCTGTTGATTCTAGGTAACATATAAGTTCTTTTCATTTATGACAAAAATCTATATGTAGTTGATCTATGAATTCCTAATGTCCACATATATATTACCGATTTACTTGTGTCCCGGAAAACCAACTATACCTCTCATCCAGTGGCAATTATTTCTTCGTTATATTTTTTATTGTTGCGATTAAGTTTATTGCTGTGCATGCTTAATGAGCTCATTAAATAATCTTGAAACCGAAATCATCATTAATACACTACATAATTTAGTCTAAGCTGATTTGATGCTTGTTTTTTAGAGAGAACCAAAAATGTCCTGGTCCTTTTTTCCCATATATAAAGCAATTTACCGATAAAGCCAACTATGTCTCTCATCCTATGGCTATTATTGCTTCTGTCTTAATTATTTTTTCCCTGCGGTTCAGTTTGTTGTGCATGCTTAATGTGTTTGTGCAATAGTCCTGAAACCTACATTTTCATGAATGCACTGCACATGACTGTCGTCTAAGCTGATATGATGCTTGTTCCGGTGAGAAAACTGGAGACTACCTGGTGCTTTTTTTTTCCTTATCTGGTTTCTGTTTTGGGTGTATAAAGTACAAATATGGAGATGCTAAGTTCCCTTATTCTGTGGTGTTGCATTGTGGATAGCTTGTGAAAATTAACTAACTTTGTCAGTGGTATTGTTTATCCATGTCATGGCTATTAAATCATAATGATATTTTTGTTTGGTTTTGCACAATGCATAGTACTCGATGCATTTGATTATGTTTAAATTTATGGTTTCACTTCACTTTTATGTCACAGTAGAGTGATTATAATGCTAATCATGGTATTTCATCAGTATTATCGAGTTTGAAATTAAAATGCAGGCTATGCTGAAATTTTTCATTTTCCCTTATCCTTGTTATTCTTTTATCCTACCAGTAGGCTCACTTTGTTCTGGTTGTTTAGATACTAGTGGTCATACTAATGCTATGGCCATGCTGGTTCACTGCATGGCATAGGCCATGTTAATTTAAGGTGCTTGAGGGTTTGATGGCATAAATCTCACTTTGTATCTGTCCATCATATATTATTCTTAGCTTTTAAGAAATCTCCTTACTGTATCATTCACCAGATGTGCACATTTTCCGGTGCCGGTCACTATGAAGGCAAGTTTCAGGAGTAACCGAAATCAAGTAACTTATATTTTCAGGATTTGATGATTTGGCAATCCTCTTACTATGTGCTGCATTATAATTCGCTTAACAGCTTTTCCAGAACCAGTTAACTAGAATCGATGGCTTTTTCCCTTCTGTTTTGTGTCATTTGCTCATCCTGCTTTACAGTTGCGAGGGGTTGATCATCAAAACGTTGAGTAAAGACGCTACATATGAACCTTCAAAACGGTCTCACAACTGGTTAAAATTGAAAAAAGATTACATGGAAAGGCAAGTGTCATGTCGTACTGCTTTAAACTAACAATGCTGCTTGACCATATCAGGAAACTTGTGAACAAATTTTTATACTTTTCAGTATTGGTGACTCGCTGGATTTGGTGCCCATTGCTGCTTATCATGGCAGGGGAAAACGCACTGGTAACTTCAACAAAATTCTCTTCAGTTAGGATGATATTAACCATTTATAAATTTCTGTTTCCATGCAATATGCATTAGTGTTCAACTATGGACTACATTCAGGATCTCATTCTTTATGTAACCACTTTAATGGTTGTGCTTATACTCTCTCCTTCAATCATTATACTTTTTTTTTTTTTTTGCTAATCTATTGTTAGCTTAAATTTACTTCCTACTACTGTTAATGATTGTGCTATTTTTGTAGGTGTATATGGTGCCTTTCTCCTTGCTTGTTATGACAGTAACAAGGAGGAATTTCAAAGCATCTGTAAAATTGGTATGCTTTTCTTCTTCACTCTTGCATTAAGCTACTGTGTCAGTATAAAGATTTTCTACCTGCATGACAGAACATATTAATGCTGATATATGGCGATAAAGAAACTTATCTACCTATTCATATCGTCAACCTTAAGTTTTATGGAGACTTGTGATTTTAGGCACTGGATTTTCTGAAGCAATGCTTGAAGAACGTTCTGTCAGCCTTCGTTCTAAAGTCATTCCCAAGCCAAAGGTTAAGTCAAATTCGTATTTATTTCTTCGTGGCAGGTTTGCCCTTTTATGGGATTTTCAATGGAATTTCATGTTCCTCTAACATACACGTTATTTCCAGTCATACTACAGGTATTCAGATTCAATCAATCCAGATGTCTGGTTTGAGCCTACTGAGGTAGGAATGAGCATCTTTTGTTTCTGACTTTAAATGGCTTTCAGTATTTCATACACTCATTGAATTTCTACTTTTCTTAATTTTGTGCTCATTGCAAGCATCTCTTTTGTTATTTCTGTGCACCAAGTTTCATTATTTTGTTAATAGTACACAATGCTACAGTTTACCAAGAACTTTCTGTATTTTATTTTATTAATGATACTTTATGAGTTATGATAAAGGAGACTATTCTCTCCTTGTTCCTTTGCATCAACATTCGGATTTTGCCCCTGTTACTGTGCCGTGTGTGATATGAGAGCTCCACAGATACTCTGCTTGGCCATTTGGATGAATGAACGGATAGTAGTGCATGTTTGTACACATTAATACACAAGACTGGAATATTAATAAGAAAAAGGAGCTAAGTTCCTGTTTATAGGATTGCTGAATCTTGCTAACCAATCATGCTAGTACTTTTTATTGGCTTGAAGAGAGATGGATAAATATTAAGAAAATTTTATTTTGATAGTAGTTTTGCAAATGGCTCCAGCTGTAGGGGAATAATGCATGTCAAATAAAACTTCTATGCTTTGACAACATTTTCACGGGAACAGCATGCAAAGAGAAGGTTGAGAACTGAGTGACCCGAGGATAAATATATGGAAAGTGAAAGCATTTAGTCTTTGAGCAAAATTGATAGCCAAACATGGCTGTAGAAATGTCGTGTTAAACGTCTAATCCATGGTGAAAATTTGTATTGTATGAATGTTGTGTGGGAGGAAGTGAAAAATTTAAAACTTTTTTTTAAGTGATGAGCTTAGCATGGATAGACATAATGTGTCTAGTGTCTACAAGATTTTGCTTGTTTACTTGTTTCTTATATCTTTTCAGTAGTGTGAATATAGTACCTTAAGCTTGAGGCAACAGGACAAATAATATTAGTATATCCATTTATCGTGATTTGCTTTATGTTGCGTTCTCTTCAAGGTTTGGGAGGTGAAAGCTGCAGATCTGACTATAAGCCCTGTTCATCGTGCTGCCATTGGTATTGTAGATTCTGATAAGGTACCATTTTTGCGCTCTTATGGAACTTAATGACTAATCTCATGTGTAAGCTTGGTTAAATTGTACAGGAACATATAAACGTGAAACCTTGAACTGACACACTCAAGACCTTTGCAATAGAGTATTATCTTTTGATTATGTTGTCTTGTATCTTTATCCCCTTTTTTCTCTTGGCATGTACTGGACAGTATCATTGAAGAAAAAGAAGCTCATATCTTGTTCATTATATTATCGAGTCATTCAATAATGTGTGCTAAGCATGAACTCTATTTTTACTGCTTTTTTTACCTGTTTATGTGCAACCTGTGGAAATTGAAATGAATTTAGGTTTGTGGTTGGTGAACGTGGCTTTTCGTTTCCTATTTATCTGTTATATTCCTTACATGTTCATTTTATCTTTACAAAGGGGATCTCGCTGAGATTTCCTCGTTTGCTTTGTATCCGAGAAGACAAGAGTCCCGAGCAGGCCTCGTCGTCTGATGTGGTGAAGAACATTAACCTTTCTTGGTCTTTTCTTTCAGTTTATTTTGCACTGGCTCGATTTCTGTGTCTCATGTTGACTTCACATTCGGTTTTGGTCCACCAGGTAGCCGAGATGTATACTGCTCAGAAGCACAATCAACGAGACAATCCAGATGAAAATGACGATGATTGAGGAGAAGAACAAACCGTATCCATTTCTAGTACAGTATTATGTTTGGTACATTCGTCTAGACTGGATAGGGCAATAAACAACTTACAAATTTTTCGCACGCCTCTTCTATAATTATATAAGGTCTATTGTATCAAACATGTACAGGACGACATATACACGTTTTTACATGTTCTTCCAATCTGCTGTATCAAATGCGAATTGGACGACCTTGACCTTGACCTGGACATTTGTCACATGGGCATGTGATGCCTGGCTGGAATATGATGTTTCTTAAGATACATTGATTTAGCCGAATGAATTTTTAGGGTCAAGGGGTAAATGATCCATGCATTGAATTTGAGAGTTCATTATGCCGTGTGGACCAGTCTTTAAAGAGATTTCTTTAGGGTTGGACGTGGACCCGACCCCTCAGAATTATATCCGTCATTTTCTGCCGAAAACTCGTCATAATTTTTTGTAATTTTGATTTTCTTAGTCCAAGAAGAATATGTAGGTGAGATAACATGTGAACATGATTATTTTTTCAAAATGCACTAGATTTCCGGGTCCATTGTTAAGAATATAGCAAAAATCAACTATAATTCTTGTGTGTATTGCATTGTTCTTCATTTATGTGAACAATGTGATCTCATGCTAAAAGATTTGCATAATCGATTCGAAATTAAAATAAAATATTAGGTGTTATTCGTTGAATAAATATTCGAGTTAATAGGATTGAAAAAGGGAAATATGTAAAAAGTTTCACATGATGACCAACCATTTTTTTCCTCCCTAAATCATACCATTGTAGTCTGTACAATTACATAATTTTCTTGCAATTCCACTTCCACCCTCCTAATCTGCACTAGTAAATATGAAAGTTTGAAACATAAAATTGTTATAAAGGTAACCATATCAATGCAGACCGACTCTCTGATATTTTGACTCAATGGAACCATCAAAGTCAGCACAGAAGCCTCTTTTTCTCTCTATCCTGCCACAGTTGTTTATGTTGCTGGTGGCAATGATATTGTGGAATAATTCTTGCTGAATGGGTTTTAGTGGTGGTGGTGGAATCTGATGGGTGTCAAGTGGTGGTGGAGGGTGGCGCCACTGTGGAAGAGGACCGGCAAGGAGGAGTGTTTGAAGGAGTGGCCCTGCTTCCATAACTGCTTGCAAAAGCTTGCCTTTTATTGGCAATGGCCTGTTAGGCATAATTGGAAAATCTGCTGAAGTTGGTGGCGGCGGCAGCGGCTCCACCTGGGGTGGTGATGAAACTATGCTTTCTTCACAATCTGAGGAAGAAAAGCCATTAATGGAATCCGATCTTCTTCTGGGCTCATCTTCAATGCTTGTAGTCGATTTTTGGCACTGGTTTTGGAGCAAGAGTTTCCCAAAGAACATTTTTTGGCATTTGTCTTGTGCTTCATCCCTCTCTTTGATGGCTCTGCTAAGCATAATCTTGAGTTGAACTATTTGCTCATCTCTCATTTTGAGCTCCTCTTGTGCCTTCAATCTTGTGTCTTCTAACTCCATAGTTAATAAAAGAGATTGCCTCAGCCCATCCATACCCTGCTCAAAACATGGAACACACACCTTAGATCTAGTAAAACTAAAATCTTATCTATTATATTGTCTGGATTCCCTCGATCCATCTAATGTATCATAGTTCAAACAGATTCGACTGAGAATGCCAAATGGAAGAATGTAGATACATGTATAGTGTACTGTGTTGCTGTAACCAAGATTAATGAACTCAGCAAATGTAATTCTACATTTGAAGTAATGAAATTAATAGGTTTCTCACCTTTTCTTGATACAAGTGTGCCAAGTTAAGAAGAAAGCTTTGATCATCCATGCCCTTCTTGGATGGGGAGTGGGTGGGGTGGGATTAGAGAGTGAGAGGGTTGAGGCTTAATGTGTTATTAATTATGCTTCTTATAAGGACAACTTAAAGACACTGTTTGGGTGTTATCCTTACCATAGTGTGTGCTGTTTTTTCTTAGAGGGAGTTGGGAGTGTTGGACTTAAGCACAAAAGGCCGAGAAACTACCTATATTATACTCTTTTTTTTTTAATTAAAATAAAAAGAAAAGGCAGTAGTGCTGTTATGGAGTCTTCTTTTGTAATTTAATCACTACATTACATTTACATTTATGTTCTTTTAACAACTAATACTGAAACAATCTAACGTTTGCCAATATTAAGGTTATCCTATTTAGTATTGTTTAACTAATTGTGAACGAATGCATTTGAGAACAAATGACAATTTTTGCACAAAATCTAGTTCATTGTATTATTCTCGATACGAAATCTTATATAATTGTCGAAGCCTAATCAACCGCCGCCTCTGATTAATGCTTGAGTAGAATACCATCTCTATTTTATAGAGTTAATATTAATATGCAATTGTCTACCAATTTTAAAAAGTTAATAGATAATTTCTCTAAATTAAATACCATTTTGGGTGTACAAAAGTCACACACGTCTCATATAAAATGACATGTCTTGTTGTAATTAGAGGAGAGAACAATTTAATAACTAATTATGCTAGAATTCTCAAATGCAATGGTACGATAATTTGTCATATTATCCCATCTTTCTCAAAGGGTCAACTTCTTGTTAACAAGAATATTTTTGTCCCCAAATTCTTCAGCACATGGGCTGCCAATATTATAAAGTTAGGTGTAAATCCACTCACCAATAATTGAACATACAATATAAATACATAAAATGCTCTCTTTTATTAATAATTTAATTTTTTAAATATGCTTTAACTTGTTATTGAAGTGGAAAAATGTCTAATTCCAATCTCACTTTTAAACAATTATGTTAGAGAATTTTCAAATAATGTCGATTTTAAACATTGCCAAATGCGATTATGAGTTGAGGAAATATTTGCAGAATGTTTGATACGGTTGGATCACCCAGTGCTAGATTAGGCTATGGGGCATCCACCTCAAGTTACTGGACGATTGTCTAGGTCCCTTGGGCACTCATCCCATGCTTTTGGGTGTGCTCCTCCCCCTCGCACGCGCCTATTCTTCGATTTTTTGGTGTCTTTTCACCCCAATTCAATTATTTAAATTACAACACATATAATTGTGACTCTTGTGAAGGATAATACCTCCTAAGAAGAATTATTCAACCATCTATAAAATAAATTGTTTGCTTCTAGTTTGCAATACATGAAAATATATGGAATAGTAGAATTCTCCTTCATCTTCCTTGGAACTATATTGCTATGCATAACTTGCATTCATCTCTTTCAAAAGTTTGTCATGTTCTGTAATATCAAAATAGAGAACAAGAGACTATATTAGCTTCTTCTCTCCATAGTGTTGGGGTTGTCTTCGTTAGTGCACAACACAGAAATCATATCTTGAATACGTCTTTACTTATTCGTGTACATTATCGGAGTGGGGACAAATATTGTCTCAGGGAAAACGCAAACACTTACCTTAAAATCGACCGCGATATTATTATTTCAAGTCTTTGTGATACATTTTCATCAACAAGTTTGATTTGATCTTCTACATAGATTTTTTGCGGTTTCTCCAACTTTCTTGGTCCACCTAGAGTTCAATGAAATTTTCTCCAACTTCATCTACTTATGTCCTTTTCATTGCCAATATAGCACTATCAAATTCAACATCTCCTTTTCTCTTTTAATAAAATTCGCATAATTGGTTTCAAAAAAAAAAAAAGAAAAAAAAAAGAAAATTATATATAGTTGAGAGACTAGTCACAATACTACAAGTATACCTAATGTACATTCCGTGATATAAATTCACATAATTTATTATTTATATACCCTTTCGAGGTGTGAATTAGTCAAAAAGAAATGTTTGGCATTTATTTCTCTTTTAACTAAATGGTTGACTAATTTGACTGTTTTAACATTTTAGATGCGACTTTATATAAGCTTGATTTCTTAGTGCTTAATCATGGGAATCTTCCGTGACATGCAATACAAATTACCAAATTAATCAAATTGTATTCAAAATAAGCCTTAATGGGATTTAGGTAGGATATTTTCCTTTCTAGGAGATGCCGCGTTGTATGTTAATTTTGATCGACGTATTTTTTACGAATTAACATAATTCATATCGATTTTAGTTAAGTACGTTTGGATNATTTCTAAAATTTAACATTTTTTCTATTGCCTCAATGTGAAAATAAAATATAAAATAGTATATTATTGGAATATAAAACTATCCATGACAATAATTTATAGGACATAAATACTTAAAAAAATATTACTATTCATAAGTATAATAAATAGGGCTAGCTTTTGAGGGCAAATATAGAGGTGTCAATCCGGGTGGTTCATGTCGGGCTGGCTGGCCTGCCAATATATGAGTTCAGTAACTGTCCGCGTGAAAAAAAGACTGCCCGCTAAGGGGTTTCGGGCCGGTTCCGGATCGGTACACAAATTTTGAACTACAACCCAAGCCTGCCAGCTGACCCATCTAGGTTATGGGTCGCGGTTTGTTCCAATTTGTCCCGTACTATTGTATAAATAAAATTATAAAAATATAAAATTTTTCATTTTTATAGTAAAAAATATTTTTTTTGTTAAATGTAAATTAAGAATTGAATAAAATGATAAATTCATATTTATACCAAAAAATGTTTACATAGAATTCAAATTTAATATTACATGAATTATTTATAACTTTACAAAATTAAATTAAATTTAAACAAATAACAACTAAATGTATTTCTAATTATTATTATCAAATATTTATAGTATAAGTATATCCCAATTAGGTTGACACCTACTTTTGTTATAATTTATAGTTTAAGTACATCCCAACTAGGTTGGCACCTACTTAAGTCTTAACTATAATTTAGTTGTTCAAAAATTATATATTTTAATATTTATATTCCAATCAATCTTTAGGAACTGCAAGATTTTTGAAGATTTCAGGAACATCATCAATAATTTTATATTGCATCATTCAATTCGCAAATATCCAATCTTTCACGCATATGAAAACTTCCAAAATATCTTCTTTAAGTCTAGATCTTCTTTTGTTCAATACCCTGTTACTTGCACTAAAAGTAGACTCGGATGCCACTGTTGAGACTGGAACTGTTAGTATATCTCGTGTCATTTTAAATAATATACGGTATGTCCGTTCATTTAATTTTCACAATCGTAAAATATCTAAATTATCCACTTCATCTTCAGGTATTAAACTATAATGATCAAATTGATAATATCTTTCTAATTCAGCAGATGTGGTATTTGGATTTGCAGTTGAAGTTGTCGATGAAGAACCAAGAACATTACGTTTCTTAACTATTATGGAGAAAAAAGAAGATTTGTCTTTAGAAGTTGTATTAGAGTTTGTAGAAAAAAAAAATATTTTCATTGTCACCATATTTAATAAAATAATTGTTATATATTTTATTAATAAAAATATCCAATTGTCGATTAGTAATATTTATGTTAAAAACTAATGTTTCAGAAAGTGATTTTAAAGTACAATGAACTCCAAATAACGTAATGCGAGGATTCATTACAGCTGCCACTGGAAAAATTAGTGGCATTTTTCATAATATTTTTTAAACCTTTCCTCAATTGAGTGAAAATTTGAAAGAAAAATTGATCGTCTCTAAATAATGAAAACTGTCCACTAATTTCTACTAATTGTAAAAGTACAAGATTACTAGTCTCCCTCTTTTTTTTTCCAAATATTTTTAATTTTTTTTCACGGGCCAGCGTGTTACCCGCGAAACCCGCAGATCACACCTTTTTGACCTGTGAACCTTCCGCTTAGGTCACGGGTCGGCCTGCTGTCCCGAGTTAATCCTTGTCGATTTTCACGGATTTAGTCGACCCGTCCGTCTGACACCTCTAGGCAAATATCCACACTTAGTCGAACCAATTAAACATTAAGAGGATGCTCTTTTTGTGTTTCAATTTTGAGTTTTGAATTCATTTTTTATTTTGTGTTTTAAGATTTTGAAAGCGCATTCTTTTTGTCATTTTGAAAAATTGTTTACAAAAAAAAAAAAAAAATGAAGTTTTTGTTTGGTTTTAACTGAAAACAACTAAAACGACTTTTTCGTTGTTTTTCGTTTTCTTTGTAAATTTTAAACTCCTTTTTGAAAATTCGTTTCTGAAAATAGGAAAGTAAACGTGCTTTCGAAAATTGAAAAATGAAAATGACATAAAAACAATAAAGAGAACAGACCCTAAGAGTGTGTGTGTGTGTGTTACATAGGTAAATTTTGAAGTGAATCATTATGCATTCCGAGAAAAAAATATAGTTTATTAAACTAAATTGTTATATTAATTTTAAGTCTATGGCTAAAGTCCAATTGTTCTAATAACGTTTCGATTCATGTGGGTTGGAGCGTTACATATACACACACTTAATGTTTAGCTCTAAAAAGCTAGCTCTATTTATTATACTTATGAATAATAATATTTTTTAAGTATTTATGTCCTATAAATTATAGTCATAGATAGTTTTATATTCCATTAATATACTATTTTATATTTTATTTTCACATTGAGGCAATAGAAAAATGTTAAAATTTAGAAATTGTCAATGTGGAAGCATATATTGGTGTTGTGTGATAAAGCTTTTTGTTAAAAAATTTAGTAAATTTTGATAAAATTGGATGAAATTATGTATTCCATAAAATATATTGTTAAAATTAATGTTTAATCAATTAAAAAGTCGATAAATTTTTTACAAACTAGCACATAGTGCAATGTGCTGAATACGACTAAATAAGATGATATACAAGACTTGAAATTTTCTCTAATATACCCACCCATCCTACCAACCGACCGAAAAGCGAGTAACAAAATGATCAGATGGGACCCACTTCACCGGG